AACAGGTGCCTTTAAATTTTAGTGGTGTTATTTCTTGCTAGCATACTTGTCAAAAACATTAGTGCAAATAGCCAAATACATAGTGGAAGAATTTTGAGCCACCAAGCCAAGAAAAGTGGATGACATGTCCCAACAAGAAAATGGGCAAAATAGTTTCTATAATCAACTTTTGAGGAATCTGATTAATAGGATGTTCTTTTATGCTTTCAACTGCAGAATATAATACATTTGATGTGCTGTGTATATGTGAGGATGTAAGGGAAGTGACTCTTGATTGTCTATTTTATTATAATTTTATAGTTTAATTATTGATTTAGAGCCCACTGCCAACATTGCACTGGTGGGTCCGAAAACAATAAATTCTTGTATAAAACAATGTAACAGTTAAATGAGTCGATCTGTTATATTTTTTGAATAAAAGTATATATTTACTCTGCAAAATATTCTACTTTTATTACATAGTTGTTTAAATTATATTAGTTGTGCATGGAAAAATGCATAATTATTAATATGAATTTAAATGTAATGATTAAATAATACAAACGAAAACAATATATTAGTCACAATGCATATGTTATAACTTATGACCAAATGATTTACAAATTAGCCCTATTATTTGTTATTTTCTTTGCATTTTCTTATCCACTGAGCCAATTTTCAAGGAATACATGGATGCTATGATTCTTAAATTATACCATCCTCCAAATAGAAATGAAATACATAAAAAGGACATACAATATGCTCCTAATGGAATTGTGGATCATCGAATATGTCGATTTAGGACTGGGCCACAATTGTTCAAACCTTTGGCTGCAAACTGTAATATAACTTGGTTCATTTGTTATTTATAATATGTTGTTGTTAGGCTAGTTTAACAGTTTGAAAATTATTTTTTTTTTAATAAATATACATAATTTCATATATAAGTGTAATTTTTTTAAAAAAACAGCATAAACTAAAGCGTGATATTTTATATCATAAATATATGTATTTTTGTTCAAAAAAATATGACTGATCTATTTCATAAACTAAAGCGTGATATTTTATATCATAAATATATGTATTTTTGTTCAAAAAAATATGACTGATCTATTTCACATGAGAATTTATAATTACAAACTAAATTACTATTTTGTTTTCCGTATATCTAGATTTAAAGTTTGCCATAAAATCAGCTTTAAAAAACAAACAACTACGACCCGTCTTCCATCCGAGAACTGACAAATAAAAACAAAAAAAAAAAACTAAAACCCATAATCGACCCAATTTTATCACGGGTCAGATTGCAAGGCCCGCAGTCCGGGCTGGTTCCGGTCCAAGTCGGCCCTTGCCATGTCTTCCTAAATCCATCTCATCTGGCCACATCAATATATTGGTAACCAGTCGTATTAATTACGAAATTATGATATGTGTTGAAAATAATATTCACCAAATCCGCATTTTCTAAATTCAAATTTGAATTTATTTGTGGAAATGTATTTATATCTTTGTAGGGCGAACTTAGACTTTTTATAGTTGGATTGGATTGTGACGTGCACTTTTATTTTTGAATTATTTTAATTCAGCCGTCGCTATATTATGTTTAGATAATTCATTTGTTTAGATAATCCATTTTATATAGCATTGTGTAAATTTCAATACACAATTGGTCTTATCATCTCGACTTTTGGTTATAGATTAAAGATTAATGTATCACATTTCCCAACAAATGAATGTACATTTAGATTTTGATTCAATTCAAGCTTCATATAAATGAAAAACCACTGTTTAATTTATGTGCATCTATGGATTGTGTATAGACTATTCGTATATTTGATCCGTCATAAATTTTTGTTAAGCATGTACATCTATTAGACTTCAATTTCATTCAAGCTTTAGATAAATGAACGTTAACCATTTAATTTATGTGCATCTATGAATTTTGTATGGACTATTCTTGTATTTGATCCATCACAAGATCATGTTTGGTGCGGATTTTAGACTGATTGTTTTATTATATTTTTTTAAATCGTCATATTTTTTAATACAAATTCTTATTTGATACGACTTCATCGTTAAATTCGTTGACTTGTGATGGTTTTTATATCTAATCATGTTTTATTAAAAAAACAAACATTATTAAATCTCATATTTTTATTTATATTATTTTTTAAGATATTCGGAATGATTCACTTAAATAATCATCAATCTATCATATATGAATATTTATTGAAGAAATATGTGGTTGTCTTACGTTAGTCTTGTCTAACTAAACGATTGATTCCTCAAAATAAAAAAATAAAAATAAAAATAAAAAGAAAAAAATTATAATAGAAAAAAATTGAAATCCATTATTTGACCAATCACACAAAAGTAGTTTTATTGCACACAATGCACGAAAATAACAATCAAACGACAGCAAAGCAAAGCGAAACAGTCTCCCATCCCTCATTGTATCGGACCTATCGGTCAACGGGTCAAGGGAACACGTTATTAGCATCACCAGATTCAATCCTAGCCGTCAATCTCACATCCACCAAGGCGCAAGATCCAACGGTACTGCCTCAGCCCATATGAAAACAAACAACTCCAGAAAATAATAATAATTTAAAATAAAAAGCACACACAAACACGCAAAGCACACTAATATTTTATCCTCTCGAAAGGAGAAACACGTGCTCAGATGGCGAGGACGAGGCCGGGCACGGACTTACCAACCCGATCCGGGAGGCTGCTGACCCAGACGGAGGGGCAATGGAGCTCCGATATGCTGAAACCCGAACCTTCGGTCCTCCCGAGGCGGGTCACGGTGAGGGACGTGTTGAAGTACTCCCTGACCTGGGTTATTATCCCATCGGAGACGGTCCAGGCGTGGACCCAGGCGATTGAGCGGGTCGGGTCGAATCCCTCGGCGAGGACGGTGGGGCCGAAGGCGGAGACGCGGTGGGGCACGAATCGGAAGTCGCCGTCGCCGGATACCTGATCTCCGGTGAGGAGGCGCATCAAATACTGGTGCGAGGGCGGGCCGTGGAACCACCACTCGAGGTCAGCGGCGAGGATCTGCCGGACGGAGTCGGCGTCTCGGGCGCTCAGGGCGTCATACAGGGCGGTCACCACCCCCTTGTTGCGGGATTCCTCCAGAGCTTCCTGAGGCAACGCCAGTTCCTGAAGAATGTGAGGGTTTTAGAGAGAGAAAGTGAGCTGAAACTTGTTTTTTTGGTGGAGATGGTGAGGAAGAAAGGGGATTGGGGGATTTTATATGGGGAGAGGTAGGGGTGTTTTGGTGGATTTGGATACGGAGTGGGGGTAGAGTGGGGAATTCAACGGGATTTGTTTTTAGCGAGGCTGCGTGGCTGAATGCGATTACGTGGCGTGAGATGATGGGGCTCGGTGGGTCGGGCTCGGGAGTCGGGACGGGATAATATTGTCCATAAATTCAAGCCAACTGTTTTGACCATTAGTGCCACTCGCGGTTGACTGTGTTTTTGGCGGTATTATTTCGTGTCGAGCCGAACAGGATAGTACTGTTTGAGCTCGCTCTTGTCACTATAGTCTGTGCTAAAACTCGGCTTAGGCTAAGCGTTAGGCACCACATAGCCGTTTTCAATTTGCATAAATGGGCTTAAGAAATTCGACCAAAAAAATCAGTCAAGCGGTGTCTAGACAAGCTTAAGTACTCAAAAGTGGGATCGATGACAATTTTTTATTTTTTTTAAATACTAATTATATTATTTTATATTCATATTTTCTTTATAATTTATTAATATTATTATTTGAACTTAAGTGTGTGAATTAATTAGAAGACAAGATAATATTATTTTGTAGGTAGTGAAAATAAATAAAAAATAGAGTATTAAATCTTAATTTCTAGGCCTCATCTAGGTGATTGACGCTGATCGAGCGCCTAACGACTTTTAGAACGCTGGTTCTTGTTTAATAAATAAGCGTGTCGATCGGTTTGCTGATCGAGCGCCTAACGACTTTTAGAACGCTGGTTCTTGTTTAATAAATAAGCGTGTCGATCGGTTTGTTTGATAAATGAAACAAAAGACTCGACTCGAGCTCGGTACTTTTAAGTTCGTGAAAACTCATTTTCACTCATTCAATAAATACCTAAATGAATTGTTCACAAAGACAAAATGTATGGCGCGAACAAATTTGATTCAGGTGTTTCATTAATTTGAAACTAAAAAAATAATAACATTTTAAAGAAATAAAAAGAAAGAGCCGTTCACAAATAAACTAATTCAGCTCGTTCAGCTTTCACAAAACGTACCGAGTTGTGTTCGCAAACATCTCGATTCAGATAGAATATCTAGTTTTCCACTTTTCCTCCTTCAATTTTATTTATTTTTAATGGAAATGAACCTATGTTCAGTTATGCCAAATTATTCAATTCTTGAGATCTACAAATTATCCTATAAAGTTGAATAAAATTGATGTCATGTTAATTTAGTCGATGCATAAAAAAATTCGGCCTATTTTGATTTATTTATTCGGCAATGCTATGGTGCTAACTGCTAAGTTGCTAGGTAGTACAATTAAATCCCATTGGAAGGGGAACAGTAGCGTTGTCACAGTTGGAGGCATCAAATTATGGGATTATGACTGCCATCATCAATAATTGGTTACAACTATTACACCACTGGCTAAAAATTGCAAAAGTATTGAAACAATAATACATTGGTGTATTATGATAAAATTTTATTGATTATAACTCCGACAAATTATGGTACTTCTGTATATATAAAGATAGAATTGGTANTTTTTGAATGTTGTCCACAAACATGAACGAGCTCCAATGTCTTGGGGCTTCAATAATAGGGGTAACTTTCACCTACCCTCATGGCCTACTGCGTAAATTTTAACCGTCGGATCAATATCAATATATGGCTGTGTAGGTTTCGACTGTAACATCCATTGAGGTAATGATTATGGGTAAGATCATTCAATAATAGATTATATCTCAATGTAGTTTTATATAGCTCATCTGTTTATGGTATTGTGTTTTCTCTAAAATGAAAACTCGCATGTTTTAGAAATAAAAAAAATACAAAAATGTCACGTTTTGTTATGTCGTTGGGTTAATAAAATATCTTTGTTTGTAGTCACTGTCCTCAAGCATAGTCAGGATAATGAAAAACACACTGGTCTAATCACCAGCGAAACTATAATTTGAAAATTAGAATCGAGTTGTTCACTAATATAATTTGGTTCGACTCGTGAAGGCAACCTATGAACTCATTTAATAAACAAATCGAGTCAAATTTGTTTGAGAATATTATTTTTTATACGAATATAGAACGGACAAATTAAGTCGAACATATTCACGAATAAACATCGTGTATATGAACAATTCGTATATGATTTTTTGTTTATGGAACAAGGTGAGCTCGAGCGACTCGTTTATTAAATGAGCTGAGCTGAGCTAACTTGTTTATTAAATGAGCACGAGCTCGTACACAAAGTGCTAAGTTCGGATCAAATAGCACTCCTACTGACATGTATAAAACTAAAAAATATAAGAAGCTATGTTTTAACTAAAAAGTACATAAAAAATTATTGTAATATTATAAATATTCAAAGTGCAACTAGAATAAAAATTTACATGTTTATATTTTTAAAATCAAATATCTCGTTAAAATCTTAGTAATGTATTTTTTTATATAATATAATATATTCAAGTTTTTTTGTTACAGAGTAAAGAAAAAAGTACGGAAAAAATCTACAAGAGTAATAAGTTTCTTTGGCAAAGTAAACCAAAAAACCATATTGTATATAATTATCTATTTATTTGTGACAACCACTAGAATGATTTTTGAAATTATGTAGTCTAGTTAAAATGAATCAATTAAACAAATGCCTATGGAATAATACGGACGTTTGTTGATAATGAAATAATACCGACGTTTATAAATTTTCAATCCATGCTCAAAATATAATTAAATAATATAATCATTTTTACACACCACATCAACTTTAATTCACTATTTATCTACTCACATAATTTTAACTAATCATCACTTCAAATCATCTCTCCTACTTTTACATCAAATCAATTTTAAATCATACCACATTTTTCAAAATTAACCAAATCAAACCAAAAACAAAATAAAAAAAATTATATCCAAGCATCCCTAAGTGTTACATTTTGTAAAATATAATATCACGACGTGAACCAAATTGAATTTGGACTAGTCTTGTACATATAGACTACTCTTTTTTTGAAAAAAAACCAAAAACAAATTATGTTGCTTGGGCTGGAGCCTATCCCGTCTTTGTGGTGGCTTCGCCCCTTGTCTGTTGTCTTGTGTTATTGGCGAACCAAATTGTTAGAAATAAACAAACTAGCGATATTATGAATATTGACTCGAAATGAGATAACATAGTGAAACATTTCGACCTGATCGGCACTTGGTGCGCGTATATGGTCCATTCGACAATACTGCAGTCATCGAGTATTTTACATTTTGATCAATATACATACATATATTCAT